TGTTTTTGGGACTGACAGAATAAATAATAATGTAATAAATGTGCAAAAATCTCTAAAAATGCTTTTACTGTGTCCAAAGTGTTAAATATAGCAATGTAAAATTATATCTAAAATAGTGTGTGAAAAACTAAAGGTTGGAATACTCTGTAAAGCAACTACATATATTTTCATTTTTACACACTCTACATGTTGCATGCTTGTATGATTTGCTGATTCATTTTCAGGTTCTGTGGAATGAAACACAGCAGGGTAGTAGAGAGCTTGGTTTATACATAAAAACTGCACCAAATCAATCATTATGTGATAAAATGACAACCCAACACATGAAATAACCACGTCACAACCGCTTTACTGCATTTATAAAATTTAATTATATAGATATATTCATCTATACAGTTATGTATGTATGATAGTATGTATATATTTATATAGAAATCTATGCATACTGCAATCCTTTCACAGAGGAGAACAGAACCACATGTCAGCAATGTTAACACAATGACAGAAGCTCTGGATATTAAAGGCCAGACATTCTGGATTCATCGACACAGAACAAAACGATGGCATCGCAAAAAATATCTGAACACCAGCAACTCGGCTGTCACCTCGACTCAGCTTATTTCTTTAAATTACAATCACTTCAGTGATATTACAATCATATTTTATGTGGAATAGTCCTACCTATTCTCTTGAACTACACTCAGCTAAAGTCTGTACAGTTTTGTAAAACAGAAATTAAATTCGTTCAAGCAGGTGGGAGTTGCTGGTGACTCCGAGACAACGTTTTCTGTGCCGTCTGGTGACCTGGGACAAATACGACAGCAGACGTTAGGATCCCCAAAATATCTGAAGCGAAGGGAAACTGTAATGTCCAACATGTTAGTCCAGTATCTGACTGGTTCAGTCACCATTTCTGCTGATCCATGTGTAGAAATCTGACACCAATACATTTGATTTGTCACAATGCCCAAATAATTTAGAAATAGATGACCCGCAACTGACAAAAACACAGCATAGCATGTACACAACTGCATGAAAAGCCTGAAATAAGACTTCTTCCCAAAGTCATTCAATTTAAAACATTCAAATTTCTCAGGTGGCCAAAGTAGAAACACAAGCATCTATCGTCCATATTTCTCTCATTGTCATCTGCTTTCTTTTTATTTTTTTTTTTAAAGAGGACTTTACCTCGTCATTCAGCATCCAAGTTTTTCTTCTTTTAGGTTTTCCCCCCATACCACACGAGCGCAGCACCAAATAATCAAATTAATGTGTGCCACTGAAAAAAGTTTGGACTCCTTGCTGTACAGCTCAAATCAAAAAGCAGTCACATATTGCACTATGAATGCAAAAATACCAGTCTACACTATACAGAAAAGTGCTTCTAACATTTGTACAGTTGCTACACACAAACACAAGAAACATATACATCAATCAGTGTGTCTGTATGTATGCATTACCATCACACAGGCTGTCACACCCTACAGTACAGTACAAGAACATTTTATGGTCTTCTTCCCCCGTTTAAATGTCAAGTTCAGTTTGTAGACTGAAGGAGCAGAACCTAAAGCCTCATGGGAGAAGCATGGAGGTGTAGGTGTGGTTGAGTGGGAGGTGAGGCGGAGCTGATCCGGGTGGCCTCCAGGGTGCTGTTAAGTTTATGTTGGGGTGTGGAGGTCAAGTACTGGAGGAAACTTCAGGAATGGACCTTGAAGGCCAGCAGCTGCTCGGAGTGCATGTTGTTGAGCGAGCGCAGGTCAGGCAGTTTGAGCAGCAGCTTGGTAAAGATGGCCGACTCATTGGGGTGGTTCTTGGTAATGAGGCTTCGCAATGCACGGATCAGTGTCTCCTGCAGGGCTTCCACAGAGTTCACGTTCTCAATGCCGGAGCGATCTGGGAGGGAGAGGGATGGATGGCATTGATTAGGGTTTGTTTAATGGACAAAATAATAGTTTGGTCTGGGTGAGAAACAAGAAATAGTGCAGAATTAGGTTGGACTAATATATAAACTACAATATATCCATTAACTGTGGTTCCCAACATGAGGGTCACAGCCCTCCAAAAGGTCTGCTGCATCATCCGTTTCACAACATTTCAAAAATATTTTTAAAGAAGATATCTGTGTACAGATAAAACCAAGGAGCACCTTTAGTTGAACTGGTAACACAAGTGAAACTAGGCTCACATAAAGCTTACTTATAAATATTTGCAATATACTGTAAGTCATGTTAGGTTCAAAATAACTCAGGCTACTTATAAATAACAAAAATGAGCTTGTCAGTGGTACTTTACACCTTTAAGGACAGTTTTTCTGTGGAAAAAAAGTTTCACAAAACCCCGAAAATGTTTGTAAGGCACCAAAAATACCAGTATATGAAAACATAGAGGTGTTACATAAGACCTATATTGGTAGAACATTATGAAGTTTGGTTTGGTTTAAATTAAACTGGATACACTTGAATAGTAGGTGTGCAGGTTTTTAGCTGCTATGAAATCTAAACAGAATTTCATAAAATACTGGCAAATGTTTCTCAGTATCAGGATATGGTTTGTCCAGATACACAACAACTGGCACAAAATGTTAGTGAAGAGTGTACATATATATATATATATATATGAGAATGACAGGACAGCTCCCAAACAGTGCAGCCAACATATCTTGGTCGCCCCCTGGTGGCTGGTTGCAGTATAACCCTGCCTCCATCCTACTGTTGGATCTTCATATCACACTGAAATCCCCTGACGTCACCAGCCGGAAGTGGTGACACATTTTCCATCTTTATATAAAGTGCATTGATGAAACCAAATGGAAGATCAATGACAGGAATAATAACCTAACAACTTAAGAACACACCTGCAGAGACCAGCACCACAGCAGTGAAGAGGCTCATCTCCTCCTCACTGAGCCCCAGGTTGATGAGCTTCTCACTGAAGTCAAACATGGAGTTGAGGAGGTCCCCGGCCCCCATGGCCCTCAGAATGTCCACGCTGTACTTTTTACCTCCCAGAAAAGTGACAGTGCGGTCCTTCACATCGAACAGTGAAGCAAAGCGCACCACCAACACCTGCAGGACACAGAAACACCTCTGCAGTTATGGTCTGAGCTTCAGTAAAACCTGCCGAACATCTGGAGTGTGTTGTAATGAATAAACAGATTGTACCTCAAAGGTGCCAGCCTTCAGCAGGCTGACCTGGTCATGCTGGGTCAGGTCTCTGAAGCCTGGGATCTTCTTAGCAAATTCTACCACCTCCCTGACGGCGGGAGTGAAGCTGTGAGAGAACTCCTCCCACACCTCGTGTCCAGACTTGTGAGGGTCCACATGAGGGGACATGTTCATCGGACAAACCTACAGGGACATCAGATCAGAGCTCAGAGTTAGTTTAAGCAACATCAGTTCATCTCCACACCTCTAAGCTCCTGTGCAGTTTTGCTATTATGATTCTGTTTAATGTATTTTCTCTTTGCATCTGTATTCAAAAAGCACTGTGTTTGCTTTTGTGAGGCACACTGAACTGGTGTTGTGCTGCACCTATGATGTTTCCTGCCCTCTGTTCAACCTACCAGATACATCCTGTTGCCTCCTCTCCACAGGGGGGCGCTGTAGGCTCCGTTGCCTGGGCCCTCTATGGACGGAGCTCTGAAGGCTCCGTGTGTGTAGGCTGGACAGTGGCTGGTGGCGGCGCTCCGGGACAGTCTGAAGGGGCAGTGGTTCAGGGTGCTCTCCTCCTGAACCTGAGGGCCCAGGCTGGAGGAGGGCTCGTGGGTTGCCATGGTGACAAGGTTGTTGCGGTGGTTCCAGGCATCCTGCTGCTCCTCTGGCCGGTGGCTGCTGGTGGTGTTTTTGGCAGAACCACTATTTTGGGGGCCGGTGGGTGGTGAGGGCTCAGCTGCCAGGATGCTCTGCTCCTGGTTGTACATGAAGGTCTCCTGGTGGGCCCTGGTCACCGAACCGATCACCTCCTCCTCGCCACTGTCTGAGGCACTGGGCGAGTTCGAGCTGGGGCTGGTGTCCATAGACACAGCGGGCTCAGGGTCAGAGCTGGAGTCTGACTGGCTGGAGCACGGTGAGGAGGAAGGAGAGCAGGAAGGGGCGGGGCCAGCGTCCTCAGAGGTAGGTTCGGTGGCGCTGGCCGGCAGCGGTTTGGCGATGGGCAGCTTCTGGCTGCTGTGGAGCTGGCTTTGCAGCTGGCTGTTGTTCATCATGTTGTTCATGGCACTCTGCATCTCCAGCAGCATGCGCTGCTTCTCCCGCTTGGGGATTCGGCCGAAGCGCACGGCTGAAAATTAAGGAGAGAATCATTTTAGCAGAATTCACGTTTTACAATACTGAGCTGAGTCTGAACATTTTTATGCATTCTGTCGCAGTGTATTTGTATTTTCAAATTTAGTTTTCTGCTTACACTTCAAAATTTCCTAAAATCTGCTTTTATGGTCTAAAATACACCCCATACTAGCAAAAACATTATCTGAATGGGGTTTGCCTCAGGAGTAAATCTCTTCAAACTGCATAAAAGTGGAGCTCAGGAATGACTGCAGGTACTCACAGTCTCTGGACATCCCCACCATCAGGCATTTCTTGAAGCGGCACTGCTGGCAGCGGTTCCTGTTCATCCTCATGATGGGGCAGGTCTCGTTCTTAAGGCACTTCTTGTACTGGATGTTCTGCTGGATGCTCCTCCTGAAGAAGCCCTGTGTGTCCACAGAGAGAAGCAGCACAGTGTTAAGACATGATTGTTTTTATCATCATGGAACACTACAGACTCCAAGAGGAGACTGTACCAATGACATTCACTGATTCAAAGGTATTTACACTGTATTGGATTTTAAACTGGGGAAAAAAATTGTTTATGAACAAATCAATCAACGGATCAATGAGGAGGACTTTGATAAAAACCTGATTTGAAATCACCTTCAGAATCGTTTTGATGTTTTATAGACCCAATGATCTATAACCAATGATGAAAATAACCGTTAGTCACACTCTGAACTAGATTTAAATCTGACTTTCAGTAACACAGTAACCACCAGTCTGAAATGTGTGTGTGTGTGTGTGTGTGTGTGTGTGTGTGTGTGTGTGTGTGTGTGTTCCCCCTGTAAGGAGTGCTGTAGTGCGTCTGACTGCGTGTGCTGCTCCCCACAGCTAACTAGGCCACACAGCAACATGAAGTATGAGGGGCAGCTGATATAAATATGGGGAGAGTGAACTAGTTTCCCTGAGTCTCTGGTTGTAGCTGTGCAGATGGCTACGCCTGTGGTGACCCACTTCAACTGCAGCCTAAAGTGACTGCAACACCCGTCGCTATATTGCATCGAGATTCATTCTTCAGCGTCCTGCAAGTGTGTGTGTTGCTCCAAGGAGCCACCCTCACCTTGCAGCCCTCACAGGCGTGGACTCCATAGTGGAAACCGGAGGCCACATCGCCGCACACCTTACACAGCAGCACCAGGCCGTTGATTTCTGATTGATGGAAAAACAAATTCTTACAGTTCATCTGAAAAAGAACTGCACCAGTGATTCTGCATGTTAAACAATTGTACGAAGCACACCGACTCATTTAAATTAATTTCCTCCGGAGGTCTAAAAATGGGGATGTCTTGGCACTGAGAGTCAGAAAGTTCTGCAATTAAAATCTTACACATATAGATAATTTAAAGGTTGATCCAAGCATTTTAGATTTAATATTGTACATTCACTGGCTGCCTGTAAATATAATACAGACCAGTGCACCACCTCTACCCTGAAATCACCAACCTGGAAGCTAAGACTTTAATATAATCATCATTTGGTTTGCTTCATACTACAATAACCCAATTATATGCAGCTTTTATATTGTTACTGCTTTTGCACTTCTGGTTCGATGCCATCTGCATTTTGTTGTCTTGTACTTGTGACGTGTAATGACAATAAAGTTGAGTTGAATCTAATCTAATCTAATCTAATCTTTTAGTTAATCATTGTTAGTGGAAACTACTGGTGGGGCCTTTTTATTCTATTCCTGCTAAATTCTTTGCTTTTTATCTTTTCTGACTCTCCACTGAAAACTGTTTTGTAAAACTCTGCATTTTCACATTTGCATAATATGATGCATGAAAAAAGTTTAATGTATAATAAACACAAAAGCAAGAATGCTACAGTGACAGCTTCTGAAAACAGGAGCGTGTGTCTTACTTGTGATGCCACACTTTGCTGCGGACGAGGAGCGTCCGCTTTTCTGAGTCCCTGGAAGATTTTGGCCACTGGTGAGCGTGGGGTCAGCTGACTGGCTCAGCTGGTTGGGCGAGGAGCCGCGGGGCGGCGAGGACGACTGGTAGCTGCCATTAGAAGAGTCGCTGTGGCAAGACTCTGGGCTGGAGGCGGAGCTGGATGAACTGATGTAGGCTATTACGCCTCCTGGTGTGCAAACAGCAGAGAGAAGAAGAAATGGGCTGTTAAGACAGGGACAGCAGCCGCCAGTTAACACTGCCGAGCTCAGCGCTGGTGACATTCGGTAGCGTTCCTATTGTCAAATACTCATTCCATCTGCAAGTATTATACGTGTAATCAGAGCCTGATATCAGTGACATTCAGCTTTGTTTTTCGATACTATTAAAAGCACATCAATGAGTCACCACGAACACACCCAGTTGGTTTCCTTTGACTTAATCCACACATTCTCGTTTAAGAACGAAATGCAAGGTTGCAATTACTGACTTGTTTTTCCATTTTTGATTAATCTGTTGATGATTCTCTAATTATGACAAACCAATTAATTGTCTTGTCGACATCTTGAAATCATATTTTTTGAGAGGGGATCAAGCTGTGTGAAGTTTGAGGAGCTACTTTTTGCTGCTTAGAAAATTTAACATTAAAGTTCAAAGGAAAGCTAAAACCAGCTTCATCCTTTAATTTCTCCTCATTTTGTGTTTATTTTCCACCAGTTCATCAAACACTCTTTCCAAGACTGTGGTGTCTCCAGCAAGTTTCTGTAGGTGGCGCTCTCCTCCCTGTCTGTTCAGCCATTGGTGGCTATCAGTGCTCGTGGTATCTCCCTGCTGTTTCCTTTCCCTTCAATGAAATGTAACTCTGCTCTGTCACCAGCTCCAGAGACGCTCCCTGTGTGGAACCAACCAGCTTAACGTAAAGAGGGCAGATCAGAATACGACAACAGCTTCCTCAACCAGTAGGAGCCGAGCAGACAGGCTGCTGCTGCCGCTGAGCACCCCTTCAACTCCCTTCCTCCCTCACCATAGGCTGACCTGATTTCTTCCTTTGCCATTCTCAATGATTAGGTAACAGGCATTACATAATGTCAGCTTCACAAGGGTGTGTAGCGGGTTGTCTGGCCCGTCCCTGCAGCCATTCACACATATAAGCTTCATACTTCATAACAGATTTAGTTCCATATAACATTTAACAGGTTGTTTCAAGTTGGGTCAGAAGACGCTGCATACATGATATTTTTAGGATATTTAACCAATACGATCCATACACAGCTCCACCTTAAGAGCAGGCTTAGAAGACAGCAGTATGTAGTTTTCACAGCAAATGTCACATGTATCAGAAATGTGCCTGAGTCATCAGGCCTGACCCAGTTTAAAAACCCACTTCAACATCTCACTGACCAACTGTTTCAGATAATATGCACGTCTGCAATCATCACTGTGCACAAATCTTCAACAATAGGTTGTCATACAGACATTATAAGGTTACTTTCAAAATATCAAATATCATAAATGCATGATCAATGAAATGGAGCATTAGAGGAACACTCCGGGGTCACGGGGAGCTGAAACAAGAAAGAGTAACTCCTAAATACTAAATGCATTTTTGCTTTTAAAACCTTGTGTAGTATTTTTCTGGATTTTTAAAATAGCCAAGGCCTCGAAATGTAACATTTATTAATCACGTAATTATATGTTAATACAGAACAGAATTAAAAGAACAAATTATAACATTCTGATTGGTGAGAATCAGTTTTTTTCAAGTTGGCAAAGCTTGAAATCTGAATCCAGAAAAATGGTGCTGCATTCAAGTCCCATGGGAAACATTCATTTTTGTAGCGTTTACCATGGGCCCTGAACGCCTCATAGCTGTGGAGGGTTTTTTTCAACACGCCCCCACGTGGAGCAGGCATGTTCTTTCCCCGGGAAAACTGGGTCACCTCGCGCTGCTGCGAGCCGCCTCACGTGTATCGGCGGTGAGACGCCACACATCAGGCTCGGAGGAATTATGCAATGGCGACGTCACAGCGCCGCTCAGCCAATGAGCGGAGACGTATGGGGAGCGTAAACACAGGCGCACATGGCTAGGCTGACGGTCCATGTGAGAAGAGAGACTGCAGTGCTGCTGAAGCCAACTACTTGGGTAATAACAACAGCCCACTGGCACTCCTAACCCACTTTAATGTGAACACTCCAGTACGAGCTAAAGACAATTTAACTATTTAAAGTGCCTCCCCGCCATGTTAACACGACGTAAAACATTAAATATGAACGTGACCCCGTTATGCTAGTCGTTTAAACAACGTAGTTTCAATGAAACCAGCCTCAGACACCGTTAAAGCCCCTGCGACCAGGTGGAAACGGGTTTAAAGCTCACTCACCAGCTTTGCTCGACTCCATGTCCAGTAACTTTGGGGGTTTTCCTCCTCCTGCTACCTCAGTGCTGAAGCCGTTTTTCTGTTTTAGTGTTCAGCAACTGAAAAGTCGCTGATGGATCCCGGTTGAGAAACTAGCTGCTCAGCATTTACACGAACGACTCAAAACCTCGTAAAGACCGTAAAAAGCTACGATCGATGGTAGAAGCTCGTCCAGCGAAGGTTGAATTTCTCAGCGAGAGAAAAAAATCTGACTACAAACCGAAGCAGTAAGTTTTCTGAGCGACGATCGAAAAGGGCAGATTTCTGTCCTGGAAGGTGTTTCTGGCTTCAGTCTGCCCGAAGAAAGAGAGCTGCTGTAACTGTGACCGAGTTTGAATCAGGAAACAGCTTCTGCCATTTACCGAGAATTCAGGGAAATCGGTTGATCGAGGCGCAGCTCCTGAGCGGTGGACGACTGGTTTTGCAGCGACTGTTCCGAGTAGCGATCAGTGTGCAACCATGTGACCCAGTTCACTGGCTCCTCCCTCCCACAGCCTGCTGGTGTCAATGTAACCCACTGACATACTTTCACCAGTCAAAGTGAACAAAGACGCTCCTCCAACACATCCTGCGCCCAAAAAAAGACGAAGCGCGTCGCTAAACAGTGTCTTATAATTACAGCCATAGGTCATAGATTGGTCTGAATCCAAACTAGTTTTTGGACTTAAAAAAAAAAAAAAAAAAAAAGAGGGCGAAGCTGCAAAAAAAATCTGATGACATTTGTGGCTGTCACTTCAAAAAGCTCCAAAAGTTCGTTTTTTAATCGTCATATATTTCCCTGCTGTGGGTAGAGGTCAAAGCTGTGGCAGATCCACTCATTCAAGAGTTTATCCTCTGCTGTAGGACAAACCTGACAACACACACAATTATTATTATAAGAGTTTTCCCCCTCTGTGCCATCCGCGTCAACATATAATTCAGGAAATCTGTTTGCTGCACCAACTCAGAAGTTTAATTATTTGTTATTTGGAAATATCTGAAAAATATTTTTGAGAGTAGGGTTTTTTTTTTCACCCTCAAAAATGTGAAGGTTCCATTTCTCCAGAAGTAGAACTCCCACAGCCGTGGAATCTGATGACGCAGACAAAATAGTTCTCAGCAGAACCAAATGATTGAATGGGTCTCACAGAGGCTCAATTTCTCATTATTTTACATAGAGAAAAAAAAAGTGCAAAAAATTCAAACAAAGGTAGTTTTGGGCCCTAGATTGTTCTTATAAGTGTTTAGATGTATTCATATTTCCTACTTTAAAGCGTCTCTGGTCGACATTTCCCACATTAACGTCTAAGGCCTCTAATGTTAGAATCTGGTGAGTGGAAAGAATGGAAAGCTCATGTTCAACAATCAATTATCTAGTGTTAATTAAAACTCATTATGACAATAACAACAAGACAAGTGGGGAAAAAAAATCAATGCTATACTAAAAGCAACAAAAGAAAAAACTACAAAGAGTCCTCATTCCTCAGTTATTGCAGAAAGGACGTCCTCAAAAGCCATTTTAATGTCTCTGTTGGTCTTAATGTCTCGTTTGCATTGTCTTTGGAACTGGATGGTGACAGAACATGTAACACCAGCACCAACAGATAAGGTCAGATGGCTCGACCCATCTTGACCCAACAGTCTTGAAGGAGTTCCCACTTGTTGGCTGCTTTGTCTTTATTTTGCTTTTCCAGACCATCCCTGTTGGGTTCAGATCCGGTGACTGTGGAGGACGGGTCAGCTGGTGCAGCACTCTATCGCTCTGATGATCTGCAGTGACAGAGAGCTTAATTGAAGTTCTTCAAACGAATGATTTAACTCTGTGGCCCCGGGGGGACAACCGTGTGTGGCTTTTATGTGTGTTGCATTGTGGAATTTAAACGTATTCATTTTACTAAATAAATTACATATTACAAAATAGTTTTTCCAATTATGCTTACATGGTGCAAAAACACTGGCTGGATTAAATTTAGAAGCGACTGTTTTTTTGGAATAAAGGAAGGGTTATATAGAACATAGGTCAGGGGTGTCCAGTCCTGGTCCTTGAGGGCCACAATCCTGCAAGTTTTAGATGTTTCCCTCTTGATTCAATCGATCAGCTCATCATCAAGCTTTGCAGAAGCCTGATAACGATCCTGATCATCTGAATCATTTGTGTTGGAAGAGGGAAACATCTAAAACTTGCAGGATTGTGGCCCTCCAGGACCAGGACTGGACACCCCTGACACTGGTGGTGTCATTTACACTGGGGACTCAGGTGACATGTCCCCACCCTTTTTTAAAAGCCCAACTTTTGAAAAAATGTTCTGAAATTAGCTTGGTGTATTCGCTTACTCCCACAGCAGAGGCCTGGTTCACATCCAAAAGCTCTTTGGTTAAGGACAGAGAACGATTGTGGTTTGGATTCAGTGTAAATGAACTTGTTGCACTTGAAGTCACTGTGGAGCTCTGCTGCAATAAACCACACCAGGATCCTTCAAGTACGACCAGTGTGTAAACAGAACCATAACTCGTAAAGGCATGCTGGAGTCACTGTATGTGCATATTGCTATGCATGATTGGACATATTTGCAATTTGCCAAAAACATAAATAAATGTTTACTAATTATGTTGATTCCAGCTGTTTTTACATTTCTTTCAAAAAACATCCTGTTGCGGACGCCCGGATAGCTCGGCAGGTAGGCCAGGTGACCCGTGTATAGGGGCTTTAGTCCCTGATGCAGTGGCCACGGTTTGATTCCAGCCAGTGGCTGATTTGTTGCATGTCATTCCTCCACTCTCCTCCCCTCGTTTCTCTGTCTATCTTCACTGTCACTGCCATTAAAGACGGAAAAGCCAAAAAAATAGCTTTAAAAAAATGTTCTGTTGCAAATTGGTTGTGTTTAAATGTTACAGGAGACGGGCTTTGTTAAAGAATCTCAGTGGCTTCCAGTCAGCTTTGTGTAATTAATAGTAAGAACTTGTGCCAGCATATCATCATGTTTAATTATTAGTGAAGTAGTTACCAATTATTTTCAGTTTTGTGTGAAAGACATACCAGGATTGTAGAATAAGGTCATAAGACTACATTCATCTGGTGGTAACTCACCTTTCAAGCTCTGCTGTTTGGTGCTGAGCTAGTTTTGCTGAAAACAGCTGTCAGCCAACCAAGATGGATGAAATTTGAGCTCGACACCAAAAACCATATAGTGAAGGAGGCAAACAAAAAAGAAAAAGAAAACAGAGTTAGTGACATCTTTCACATTACACATTGTCATGTGATCAAAACATGGATAAGTGCAGCTTTAAAATGTTTGGTGTTTAAATCCAAACCTAGGAGGTCTGCAGGTAGGATGGGTTCTGACAGCAGGCTCCATTTTGGATCCACTACCAAGATGGTAAAATATTCTGATCCTTCATTTAAACATTTATTTACCATCAACATTTACTGAAGTAAGTTGTGGCATTTTTGATAATTTGCTAAATAAGGTAATGCAGGAAAGTTTAAGTGCATTTTGTTGCTATTCACAGAATAAAAAAGTACAAATATTATTTCCATTGTGTTGCTTTTACTTTAGCTTCTGCAGCTGCAGGTCAGGAAGATCCATCCAGCCATTATCTATACACCGCTTAATCCTCACGAGGGTCATGGGGGGCTGGAGTCTATCCCAGCTGACTCAGGGTGAAGGCAGGTTCACCTGGACAGGTAACCAGTCTATCACAGGGCTACACTTAGAGACAGACAACCAAGCACACTCACATTCACACCTACGGACAATTTACAATCACCAATTAACCTCAGCATGTTTTCGGACTGTGGGAGGAAGCCGGAGAACCCGGAGAGAACCCACGCTGCACGGGGAGAACATGGAGACTCCACGCAGAAAGATCCCGGTGCCCCCACCGGGACGCAAATCGGCGACCTTCTTGCTGCGAGGCAACAGTGCTACCAACTGCACCACCTTGCAGCCCCCGTCAGGAAGATCAAAAGGTAAAAACAGAGCGAGGACAGAGTTAATGAATGTCACAGAGCAGTGATAAAATATGTGGTCAGAGACCTTCAACCTTTCAGCACAGCAGAATGTCTGGTTTAGGTTGGATTCAATATTACCCGAGTCTCTATTAGTGCTGATGTCATGCATGTCTGGAAATTTGTCTAAATTGTAATTAAAATGACCAGTTGTGTTCTTAATGCTGCATTGTTTCACAAAGCTGTCGAAAGGTTTTGCCTTTGATTCAGAGATTCAGAGTTAGTAAAGTGTGATTGGATACAAGTGCACAGTCATTAGGGCACATCCCCACAGTGGGTGCCAATACCATCAGCAGGACATAATAATGTCTGTACATGTGCATCGTAAGCACACATTTAAACCTTCAATTTAATCCTCCTAATTAAAGCAAATTCTGTAAACAGGAATAAATGTTCCAACAGTATTATCTGTATCATGTGAGACATCTTTGCACACACTGTTGGTGGATACTGTTTCAGTGAGACACACAGGAGACGAGTGGATGTGAGGCTTAATGTCACAAGGCTTTGGAGTCGCCCCCACACACACACTACATTCTTACTGGGTTAACATGACATGGAAGTGCTTCATTCCTCTGCATCTCCAGACGGCAGGCAGGGCTCGGCTGCAGCTCCACACAAAGATGCAGCACCAGGCATTTCCCACGACGCTCTCAGTCCCAGCTAATGTTTCCTCACTTACTACAATGGAACCTTTTGCGAGTTAGCAATCCCACGCTTCAGCATCCTATTCAACACTTTCTTTTTTTAAAGGACTTTACAGAGCAGGTCAGAGGTTGCTGCTGCCCTGCGGACTAATATACCGACAGACAATGGAGAGGGAGTAAGGTGAGAGACAAGTGTTGTTGTCACTCCGCCCTTCCATGTACCCAGTTGACCCTTTAACTCTCTGATCAGGACAAGGGGGTTTTAACTGAGGACCAGAATGTGCTGCTATCATGACCTGCAAGGTTCATTCAGTTCACATACTCCATTACTTTAATGGGAATTCTAAATCCCATCTTCCTTACAACAATTTCCCTGAGGTTTGCACCAAAGGGATCAATAAAGTTCTATTCTATTCTATTCTATTCTATTCTATTCCTACAGGGTAATCATGTTCAGAGCACATTACACTAGATATTCAAAAGGAAAGGAGCTAGCAGCCTCAGACATCGATTAACAGCAGCTTAATTATACTCAACATCAGCACTTCACAGAGTTCAAGCAGGAGACACATGTCAACATCAGCTGTTGGAAGGAGACTGACTGGGTGAATCAGACCTCATGGTGAAACCACTGCTGAGAGACACCAAGAAGAGGAAGAGACCTGGGTGGATCAAGAAACACCAGGAACAGACATCAGACCAGAATTCTGGGCTTTGATCCGACAAGTCCAAATGTAAGATCTTTGGTTCCAGCTGCTGTGTCTTTGTGTAACTCAGAGAAGGTGAAGGTATGGTATCTGCAT